GCACGAGCAGTGAGGGAAGGTGATCTCGTTGTAGCCCTCGCACGTCCGCAGCATGTTCAGGTACTGCGGGAACGGCCGAGTCACCGCGGTGCCAGGGCATCACTGGGGTGCCAGGGAATGCACTGGGGTGCCAGGGAATGCACTGGAATGCCAGGGAGTCACCAGGATCCCAGGGATTCACCAGGGTCCCAGGGAATGCATTGGGGTGCCAGGGGATCACTGGGGTGCCAGGGAACGCACGGGGACTCCAGGGAGTAACCAGGATTCAAGGGAGTCACTGGGATGCCAGGGAGTCACTGGAATATCAGGGAATTCATTGGGGTCCCATGGAAGGCACTGGGATGCCAGGGAATGCATCAGGATCCCACGGATTCACCGGGATCCCAGGGAATGCATTGGGGTGCCAGGGAATGCACTGGGACCCCAGGGAGTCACTGGGATGCCAGGGAGTCACTGGGGTCCCATGGAAGGCACTGGAATGTCAGGGAATTCATTGGGGTCCCAGGGAGTCGCCAGGATCCCAGGGAATGCATTGGGGTGCCAGGGAATGCACTGGGGTGCCAGGGAGTCATTGGGATGCCAGGGAATGCACCAGGATCCCAGGGAGTCACCAGGATGCCAGGGAATGCACTGGGGTGCCAGGGAATCACCAGGATCCCAGGGAATGTACCAGGATCCCAGGGTTCACCAGGATCCCAGGGAATGCATCAGGACCCCAGGGAGTCACCAGGGAATCACCAGGATGCCAGGGAAGGCACCCAGATCCCAGGGAATTCTCCAAGATCCCAGGGAGACACCAGGGAATTCACCAGGATGTCAGGGGTTCACCGGGGTTTCAGGGAGTCACTGGGATCCCAGGGAATTCAATGGGATCCACTTGGGAATTCACTGGGATCCACCATGGAATTCAATGGGATCCACCATGGAATTCACCAGGATCCCAGGGAATTCAATGGGATACACTTGGGAATTCACAGAGATCCACTTGGGAATTCACCAGGATCCACCATGGAATTCAATGGGATCCACTTGGGAATTCACCAGGATCCCAGGGAATTCACTGGGATCCACCTGGGAATTCACTGGGATCCACCTGGGAATTCAATGGGATCCACCAGGGAATTCAATGGGATCCCAGGGAATTCAATGGGATTCTGGGATTCACCAGGATCTCAGGGAATTCAATAGGAAATCAGGGAATTCACCAGGATCCCAGGGAATTCACCAGGATCTCAAGGAATTCACTGGGATTTCAGGGAATTCACCAGGATCTCAAGGAATTCACCAGGATCTCAGGGAATTCCCCAGGATCCCAGGGAATTCACTCACCATGACCATCTTCCTCTGCTCGCAGAGCTTCTGCAGCTGGTAGGATTTCTCCTCGGCTTTGATGTAGCCTTTCTTGACATCATCAACGGCCTGGGGATGGGAAAAACATGGGGAAAAATCTGGGAAAAAAACATGGGAAAAATCTGGGAAAAATCCAGGATTTGGGATGGGAGGAGGAGGAGCCACCTTGCGCTTCATCCTCAGGGAACTGTGAGACCTCAGGGTGGCCCGAGAACTTTGAGGTGCCTCAATCCCATAAAAACAACCAAAACCCCAACCCACCTTGGGACCCAACTGCTCCAGGAGTGTTCCCCACCTGAAGGGGCATTCCAGAGGAATTCCAGGTGGGAATTCCTGCTGGGAATTCTTCATTTGCAGGACCTTGGAGTGGCCTGAGAACATGGGGGTGGCCCAAGAACCAAGATCCCAAGGTGGGATGGGGTTTGGGTTGTTTTTATGGGATTGAATCCCATAAAAACAACCAAAATCTCATCCCACCTTAGGATCCACTAATGGAACCCAATGACCCCATAAGGAGTTTTCCTCATCCAGAGGGCCATTCCAGAGGAATTCCAGGTGGGAATTCCTGCTGGGAATTCTTCATCTGCAGGACCTTGGAGTGGCCCGAGAACCTTGAGGTGGCCCAAGAACCTTGGGATTCAATCCCATAAAAACAACCCAAACTCCATCATGCCTTGGGATCACCTATGGGACCCAAGGACTCCATAAGGGGTTTTCCTCATCCAGAGGGCCATTCCAGAGGAATTCCAGGTGGGAATTCCTCACCTGCAGGACCTTGGGGTGGCCCAAGAACTTCGGGATTCAATCCCATAAGAACAACCAAAACCTCATCCCTCCTTGGGATCCACTATGCGACCCAAGGACCCCATGAGGAGTTTTCCCCATTCCAGATGGGAATTCCTTCTGGGACTTCCTCACCTGCAGGACCTTGGGGTGGCCTGAGAACCTTTGGGTGTCTCAAGCCCATAAAAACAACCGAAACCCCATCATGCCTTGGGATCAACTATGGGACCCAATGACCCCATAAGGGGTTTTCCTCATCCAGAGGGCCATTCCAGAGGAATTCCAGGTGGGGAACCTTGGGGTGACCCAAGAACTTTGAGATGCCTCAATCCCATTACAACAACCAAAACTCCATCATGCCTTGGGATCACCTATGGAACCCAACCACCCCATGAGCTGCTCTCTCCACCCAAAGGGGCATTCCAGAGGAATTCCAGCTGGGAATTCCTGCTGGGAATTCTTCATTTGCAGGACCTTGGAGTGGCCCGAGAACTTTGGGGTGGCCCAAGAACCTTGGGATTCAATCCCATAAAAACAACCCAAACCCCATCATGCCTTGGGATCAACTATGGGACCCAATGACTCCATAAGGGGTTTTCCCCATTCCAGATGGGAATTCCTTCTGGGACTTCCTCACCTGCAGGACCTTGGGGTGGCCTGAGAACCTTTGGGTGTCTCAATCCCATTACAACAACCAAAACCCCATCATGCCTTGGGATCAACTATGGGATCCAAGGACTCCATGAGGAGTTTTCCCCACCCAAAGGGCCATTCCAGAGGAATTCCTGCTGGGAATTCCAGGTGGGAATTCTTCACCAGCAGGACCTTGGAGTGGCCCAAGAAGCTTGGGGTAGTCCGAGAACCTTGGGATTCAATCCCATAAATACAACTAAAACCCCATCCCACCTTGGGATCAACTATGGAACCCAATGACTCCATGAGGAGTTTTCCCCACCCAAAGGGCCATTCCAGAGGAATTCCAGGTGTGAATTCTTCATTTGCAGGACCTTGGAGTGGCCCGAGAACCTTGAGGTGGCCCAAGAACCTTGGGATTCAATCCCATAAAAACAACCCAAACCCCATCATGCCTTGGGATCACCTATGGAACCCAACCACCCCATGAGCTGCTCTCCCCACCCAGAGGGCCATTCCAGAGGAATTCCAGGCGGGGAACCTTGGGGTGACCCAAGAACTTTGAGATGCCTCAATCCCATTACAACAACCAAAACCCCATCCCACCTTGGGATTACCTATGGAACTCAATGACCCCATGAGGGATTTTCTCCACCCCAAGGGCCATTCCAGAGGAATTCCAGGCGGGAGCTCCGTACCTGGTGGAAGAAGTAGGCGACGGCCAGGTCGTTGTCGTTGAGCAGCGCCTCCTCCTCGGTGGTGAAGAGCCACTTGCGCAGCGTCAGGCACGTCCCCGGNATTGGGATGATCCCCAGGGATTTGGGAACCCAGTCCAGGTGCAAATCAAGGTGTGAAATCAGTGATAATCCCAGAGGTGCCAGGGATTATCCCAGAACAACCTCCAGGGATTTGGGGACACTGCCCAGGTGCAAATCCAAGTTCTGAGGTCAGGGATGATCCCAGGGATTTGGGAACACAGTCCAAGTGCAGATCGAGGTGGGAGACCAAGGATGGTCCCAGGGATTTGGGAACATGGTTATAGTGTAAAATCCAGGCTGTGAGCTCGGGGACAACCCCAGGGATTTGGGAACACAGCAATAGTGTAAAACCCAGGGTGTGAGCTTGGGGACAATCCCAGAGAGCTTGGGGACAATCCCAGGGAGGTTGGGGACAGGGTGATGGTGTAAAACCCAGGCTGTGAGCTCAGGGACAATCCCAGGGATTTGGGAACACAGTGATGGTGTAAAACCCAGGGTGTGAACTTGGGGACAATCCCAGGACAAACCCCAGGGAACTGGATGATCCCAAGGATTTGGGAACAGGGTGATGCTGTAAAACCCAGGGTGTGAGCTCAGGGAAAACCCCAGGGATTTGGGAACACAGTGATAGTGTAAAACCCAGGTTGTGAGCTCGGGGACAATCCCAGGGAGCTGAGATGACAATCTCAGGGATTTGGGAACACAGCAATAGTGTAAAACCCAGGGTGTGAACTTGGGGACAATCCCAGAGAGCTTGGGGACAATCCCAGGGATTTGGGAACAGGGTGATGGTGTCAAACCCAGGCTGTGAGCTCAAGGACAATCCCAGAGATTTGGGAACACAGTGATGGTGTAAAACCCAGGGTGTGAGCTTGGGGACAATCCCAGGGAGCTCGGGGACAATCTCAGGGATTTGGGAACACAACAATAGTGTAAAACCCAGGCTGTGAGCTCGGGGACAATCCCAGGGATTTGGGAACAGGGTGATGCTGTCAAACCCAGGCTGTGAGCTCAGGGACAACCCCAGGGATTTGGGAACACAGTGATGGTGTAAAACCCAGGTTGTGAGCTTGGGGACAATGCCAGGGCTTTGGGGTGACCCTGGGGATTCAGGGTGACCCCAGGGCTTTGGGGTGACCCCGGGGCTTTGGGGTGACCCCGGGGGTTCAGGAGGGCACACAGGCAGGGCTGTGGGCTCAGGGACAATCCCAGTGTTTTGGGGTGACCCCGGGGGTTCAGGGTGACCCCGGGGATTTGGGGTGACCCCGGGGGTTCAGGAGGGCACACAGGCAGGGCTGTGGGCTCAGAGATGAGCCAGGGCTGGCAGGCCGTACCTCGAGCTGGCCCTCCTCGGTGCAGGCGTGCAGTTTGAAGTGGCGGATGCTGATGGCCGAGATGACGTGGCCCTTGCGCCGCGAGTCGCACGAGCAGTGAGGGAAGGTGATCTCGTTGTA